GAGTGAGTGAGTGAGTGAGTGAGTGAGTGAGTGAGTGAGTGAGTGAGTGAGTGAGTGAGTGAGTGAGTGTGTGTGTGTGTGTGTGCGCGCTTAATCAATAAACGCGGCATCTTGCCTTATCCTCCCTCATAAGGCCTCGCAATTGGCAATTTGTATAGCAGTACCTACTTGCATCATACACATACTTAATGCCAGCTTTTTCAGAAGATCAGATTGTCATCTGCTATGTTTTGCCTTAAGCAACCCTTCAGAGTCTGTAAACTACTTACAACCATCAACCTACAGTTGTTTCTGAACCTACAAAGCTTCCATGTGGATAGCAAAGGATGTATGAGGAACTAGGCTCATTTCACCCATCTGTACTGCGAGTAAGTAGGCCCTGGTACATCAGCAGATCTCTGTAATACAGTCTGCTAAGCTTTGCCCTGCTCTATGCCCCATGATCTGGGGATTTTTTTATTAAGAGTTTTTTTAAACTACTGAAGCAATAACATTTGTAGTCCCCTGAACACATACCATATTTACTTTAATCCAACATGAGGTCTTCTACATGTCCCCTCCACACTTGGATTCAAGTACCAGCCCAAGCAGGTGGTGGCTCAGGTCCAGCTTTGGCCCAGGGCTTGGGACTGAAGTCAGAGCTGGGCCCCTGGTTGGAATGGCTCATTTGGCAGGGGAGAGGGCATACAACTGGAGGGAGTGCAAGGGAGACTGCAGATGAGGGTGCAGGGGGAGAAGAACCTGATGTCTACCCCCTGGCCCCCCAGCCTATCCCTCTGCCCCCTTCCCTCTCCTCAGCTGCCCCATCACCTTCTGCTCCAGTTCTGATCCCTCTGGCTGCCACTGCTGCTGCTGACTGCCCTAAGCAGCAGAGCTGCATCAGAAAGTAAGAGGTTGGGAGCAAGGGAGGGAGTGGGACAGAGGGCAAAATGAAGCACAGGCATGGAAGAACATATAGTAGCGCATAGGCACAGAGAGGACAAGGTGTTGCCCCTCATTCCCTGCCACCACAGCAGTTAGGAGGATTAATTTAAGATGACCATCCACTAATTAGATTCTATGCATAGAAAATGTTAACAAATTTATAATTTTTCATGTATAGAATTAATAATTGGGAGGTCATCTTGAATTCAAAGTACAAGTCAGCCTGTATTTGAGAAAATATGTTAATCCAGCAAGAAAGCATGGCTAGCTGGTCAAAAACATGGAGAAATTTCTTACCAGGTAGAAGTTTGCGAGCTGCTTCCTCTGCCATTCTCAAGAGAGGACCTGAGCACGGCCACCCTGGTTCCACTTCAGTACCAGCCTTCTTAGATAGCAAGTGAGCGGAAAGGAGGCCGCCTACCACTGGAAGACCACAGAGCAAGGAGCTTATTAGGAAGCAAAGGAAGGAGGAACCATTTGACAATTTTGCCAAAGAAAATCCCTAAATCAGAAATACTATGTTGTATAACAAGGGGCATGTGGGTAGAAAAGAGAAAAGGGGTGCTTCATTTCTAGCATCTAGAAAGGGGAGGAGGCAATTATATCGGGCAGAGGGCCACTTACTGACTTTTGGCAAGCTGTCGAGGACAAGGGTAGCCCCACCCCCTAACCTTTGCCACCAGAAGTTCCCCCTCTGCTCCCCCTTGCCCTGGGAAGTACTCTTTTCAGCAAGGGATTTAGCCACCTCAGAACCAGAAAAATACCAAATTATTTTCTAAAAAGCGAACATCTAAAACATTCATTAATTTGATTTAAAAAACCCTGCCTACGCACACACGCACGCACACTTTGCCTCTACCAGCACATGCACAGTCTACCCCTGCCTACACACACACACGCTGCATGTAGGACACTGTGAGGGGATGTGTGGGTGCATGTGTATGGTGGGGCATGTGTCTGGGACTCACCCTATGAATACACACACACACTACCCCTGCCTACACACAAACACATATACTGCCCCCACCTGCGCACGCGCGTACGTGCACACACACACACACACACACACACA